TCCCCCTGTCTTCTTTTGTGACATGTGTTGTATTCATGGTAAATTTCCCATGTTGATATGCTCTTTGTTTCTCTGTAAGAGAGAAAAAAAGGCAAATTTCGGCGAAGGGAAGAGAAAGTGAAGTGACCAGAAGAGGGATGGTTTTCCACCAGAAAAGAGCAGTGTGGGATAAATTAAAATGTGCAATTTGGTTCCTGCTGGTGGCACAAATTTATTGTGTGAATAAATCTGCCATTCTCTAGGTGTGTGATGAAAATAAATCCACCCCCCTGTGGGGTTCAGGCTGGTGCGAAGCTGGCTCACCCAAGTGAGCAATGAGAGCATCAAAACGAGTTAAAAGGTGGTCGCCTCGTGTGTCGTGAGGAAATGCACCGTAAACACAAGCTGGTCAGCAGAAATGGGGTTCAGGAGGACGCCGGCACCGTGTGCAGAGACGTCTCTCGGAAACCACGGGCGGGGAAAGCTCTGGGAACGGAGCTGCAGGGTTGACCTTCACTTGGGAAGAGGGTGATTTCATTTTTCAAAGCGTCTTCTTAGCATAATAGGACTCAGAGGGCACAGGCAGCCGGAGATGATCCTGTTGCCAGGGGAGCATTCCCTCCCCAGTGAAATTCACTTGGGGCAGAAGCGTTTGTGTAGGCAGAACTGGACCCCACTGGAAGAACACGCCGTCCTCGATATCCTTTTCCAAGAAGAGGCGAGCACAGGGGTGCAGCGACCGAGGACAGAAAGTTAAACTCGGGTGCACCGTTCCTCCCCAGCCCCAGACCACTGAGGCACGAGAGGACGGGCCACCTGCGCACGTAAAGACAGTAACAAGGCAGGGGCACCACACAGCTCCTTGTAGACCGACTTTCTAAGCGCTCCGCGCAGGAAATGGAGAAGGAGCTTTTGTTCTGCTGGTCTTGGTGCTGCCTGAGCCTTCCACCAACGTGGGGGTTCGCACCCCCACTGTTAGAGCCTGGGCACACTTGTCTCTTATTTATAGACCTTGGTCCCTTATTTATAGAATCCTCTAGAGCATCTGAAGGGGCCTTAAATTTTTTAGCTCTGCTGCACTGCAGCTGATGGAGGAAACGGCATTGCTTTGGTGCTATTCGCAAATACCGAGACCGACAAGCTCTGGGGTCGAAACGACTTTCCATACGTTCCTTTGACAAAAATCATCGTGCCAGTCACCCGGCTTGTAGCTTGAGGCCTGTTGGGCTGACATGGCCTCGGGGCTGCATGAGAACCCAACCCCCAAGCCCAGCCCACCTCAGGGCCTTGGCACCTGCTGTTCCCTGGCCAGGAGCAACCCCCCCCACCCTCCGCCATAGGGGTATTCACAGGGCTCACTGCCCTTAGGTCTCCGCTCAGATGTGGCCTTCCCTCACCAAGTGCCTCAAATAGTGTCCACTCCCTCTATCCTCTCCAGCCTTTACCCTGCCACTTGTCCCCCACCTGCCGGTAGGTCGCGGTGCACCTGCGTGATCCGTGTCTGTCCCTGCCCCACGACTGTGGGCTCTGAGGCAGGGCTGTGCTGTTCTACCAGAGCAGCGTGTCATTCCACAGCCTAGCGAAGGTCGAGAGCCTGCGTCATTCATGCGTTTGCCTTGCGGGAACCCATTTCCGCTTCAGCCACCCTTGGGGCGACCGTGTGGATTTTTCAGTTCTAGCTTCGGTGTAGCTCAAGACCGAGTCCCCTCCCCCCAGCTGCTTCCAGGACCTGAGCCCCGTGAGGCCCCCTGCGTCCCCCCCAAGGGGGCATTTCCACACCCCCATCAAGGATCCCCACCCCCATCAGCATCTTAAGCCCTAGCTGCTACCAGCCCTTGCGTTCTTTCTGCTCTGTGTTTGGGTCGCTGGGAAGAAGGGCAACCAGGGGAGACCATAAAGCAGCCTCGACTGGGGTGAGCAGAATCCCGGGTCACTTATCCAGCAGCCCCTTACCTTCCTGTCCTGAGGAGCGGCATCGGGGCAATGATGAGGGGACAGTACACCAAAGTCAGAAAATGACCCACTTGCTGTTTATAGCCCAGACCGGCCATCTGCAGCCATGCGAGGTTCCTTTGGGTGCTCTTGACCCTCGTGGGAGAGCAGCTTGGACTTGTCATGGCCTTGGGGTAGGCCAGCCCCTTGGGTTCTGTTGGCCTTCATAAGGTTTCTTAAAAACCAGGCTATGTCATGAACAGGTAAAATTCAGGGGATTTCACATAGATTTCTGATTCTAGCTTTTCTTCGGGGGAAAAAAAGGCGACGCTAAGCGTGTAGACCTACATGGGGGCGCCTGGGTGGCTCAGTCGGTCAAGTGTCCAACCTCAGCTCAGGTCACGATCTCACGGTCTGTGGGTTTGAGCCCCACGTCGGGCTCTGTGCTGACAGCTCAGAGCCAGGAGCCTGTTTTGGATTTGGTGTCTCCCTCTCTGACCCTCCCCCGCTCACTCTCTGTTTCTCTCTCTCTCTCTCTCTCAAAAATAAGTAAACATTAATTAAAAAATTTAAAAAAAGGAGTGTAGCCCTATATGGCAGGTGCTGGCTGGAGCTGGGCTGTGGCCCCCAGCCCAGGGCATTCAAATTCACAGCCACTCCCTGGGTGCCTGGTGGAAACTGATACTGTTCATGTTGGTTTAGCTTTTCCATAAAAACCCACGGCCTCCCATCAACCCAGTGCCCGGCCGTCCTGGAAGCCAGCCCAGCGGAGCTGCTGGGTTTCCGTGCCTCTCCTCCCGGTGCCATTCTGGATGTCGCTTCCAGAACTCTCCTTCAGACCCCACGTTCTGTAACACAACATAGCAGAAGGGTCACGTGCTCCAAGAGGAACCCCCAGTGCTCCACCCGGATGGCTTACCAAGGTCGTAAAGATGGATGGATGCTATTTTATGCATCCCAAGAGGTCGTACCTGTGAATTCCCACTTGGTTATCTTTGACATCACTTAATGATGCGGTCCAGTCGCTGCTGTTGAATTCACATCTGTCTCCAGCACGGTGCGTTCACGCAACCCGACGGCTCCACTCCGATGCCAGAATCACATCTTGGACCCAATCTGTCCGAACTGAGCCCCTGCTCTCTGCTCCCAAACCTGCTCCACCCACAGCCTTCCCAGCTCAACTGTTCCTCTCCCGCAGCCACATCCCTGGGTCCTGTCTTTACTATGTCCGCGGGATCTGAGCAGCCTGTGTCCCGCCTCTGCCACTGCCTGGTCTCCCTGCTGTCACCTCCACCTCCCCTCATTCAGTCTGTCCCCCACTCAGCGCCTAAGTCAGGTCAAGCACTCCCTTGCCCTAGAACCTGCAGTGGCTCCCCATTTCACTCAGAGCAAGGCCCTGAGTGACCTGGCCCTACCACCCCCACTTAGGCCTCCTGAACCCGTTTCCCCGGCTGCACCTTGGTGCTCCAGTAACAAAGCACACACAGGTCTCACCTCACTGGTGCCTGGAGCACAGCACCACCCTCCAGCCCCACTCTGTTCTGCTTTGCCTGTTTTTCCACAGCATTTTCTGACGTCTAACACTCTGTTTTGTTTCTTATTCCCCGGCTTGTTGTCTTACTATACAAGGGCGAGGTTCTTGATCTGTCTGGTCACTGCTGTGTCCCCAGTGCCAAGGACAGAGCCTGACACAGCGGCACTCAATAAATATTTGCCAAGGGGATGAAATTCAATAGGTAGAAGCATCTTTAAGCATTCCAATAGAAACATCTTGAGTTCTGTTTTTAAGTGGAGATTTTGTTTGTTTGTTTAATATTGAAAGAGTCCACATGTAAGTGACTGGGAGGATGTCATGGGGACTCGGTTGTGTCCATTACCTGACCTTGGCAATCATGAATCGGTGGCCAGTGTCATTTCGTCTACATCCCCAGCCACTGCCCAGATGATTAGGAAGCAAGTTCAGGCCATCATCTCATTCCATCTGCAGATAGTTGACTATGTGTTTCTTTTTATGCTCCATAGTACTGTTAGGTGGGTATCCCAGAATTTATTTCACCTGGCCAGTCTCACGGGGTGCTGTTAGCATATGTCTCTTTACACTGTGTGAGGCTGATTGTCCTTTCCTTGGAACTTCTGGAATCGACCCCAGCTCCGCAATACTTTTCTCTTCAACTAAGATGTACATTCTTTGCAATTCTTGTTACCCGTGGAAAAACAAGACAGAATAAAGCAAAACACTCCAAAATGCCCGTCTGTCTCCATGATAGCATATGTTCTCGCTTACAGGTACTTTGTGCGAGGGTTAATTTTTTTTTTTTTACAACTTTTACTTAGGTGCGATTTCACTCTTCAAGTTGCAAGGATGTACAAACGACACTCCATATATCCTCCAACCCGACTCACTGGTTGTTAACATTTTGTCCCAGTTAATTGACTGATTGATTGGTTGATTTGATTTTTTTTTTTTTTTTTTTTTTCTCTTAGTAAGCTCTAGGCCCGTCGTGGGGCTTGGATTCACGACTAGTGACTCAAGAGTTGCAGGCTCTTCCTACCGAGCCAGCCAGGCACCCCTTGTCCTCGTTGATTTATATTTGTACTTTCTGTGCACGTGTGTGTGTGTGTGTGTGTGTGTGTGCTTTTTAACCATCTGAGATTGCCCCTTTTACCCCTGAACACCGCACCGTGTAGCTCCTAAGACTAGGGGCATTCATTCATTTTACATGACCACAGTTACACTTAGGGAATTCTGAATATTTAGCATTAATATAATACCGTTATCTAAACCGCAAACTGTACTGGGATTTCTCCCCTTGCTGCCATAATGTCCTTTATGGCAGTGTTTTCCCACCCGGGATCCAGTGCCAGGATCGCCACTGCCTTCTGTTGCCATGTCTGCCCAGTCTCCTTTAATTTGGAACAGCTCTCCAGGCTTTCTTTGTCTTTCGTGACCTTGACATTCTTGGAGAGTACAGGCCAGTTGTTTTATAGAGTGCTTCTCAATTTGGGTCTAATAGATTTTTGAGCTGCACTCTGAGAACGCAATAACATAATATATATATAAAGGAGCACCCCCTGTTTTCTGCCTGCAGGACCCGGGAGCCGACGAGAGAGACCCCTATCAGCAACCCGGAAACCCGTGCGCGAGGCTGAGGACCGAGAGGAAGATGCCTCGGCTGTGCTCAGGGCCATCCAGGTGGAGAACGAAGCCCTGCAGAGGGCGCTCCTCAGCAGAAAAGGGGAGGCCCCCAGCAGCCCGCTGCAGGTGCGTTCTGGGGCGCAGGGGAAGGACGACACAGGAGGCTACTCAGGGACCCCGTGGTGTCTGAGCAGCATTTGCAAAGAGCCCGCGGTGAGGAGAGAGACGTTGTGGGCGTCCCTGACCTCAGACTAGCTGCTCGTCCGCTGCTGGATGCGCAGTCGCTCACTGACCTACCCAAGTGCCCATTTCGTCACCTTCCTTCCATTCTTTGTTTATTTCCGAAGGCCAAAGGTGAATGCCTGTTTGCCTCTGATCCTTGCCGACCTCCCGGCGAGCCCTGGAAGCCTCAGCCCAGGGTTGCAAACTGGTGGCTGAGGGAAAGAATAGAGTAGACAAGAGCCCCGGCTTCTCCGGAAAGACCTCATTCCCCAGAGAGTGAGCCTCTCGGGCCTCCGCCGCCCTCAGCACCTCCTGTTGTCCTGCCCCTGACCCACTGCACCTGTTCAGGAGACCTCCATGGCCCTGCAGGGGTTTGGGTTGGTGCCCACTGCCTTCAGCTTTGAGCAGGAAGCAGGAAGCTACATGGTGGGGCGGAGTAGGGACCCTTCGGGAGCTGGAGGCTGTGGACGCGCCCCCGAGCACACATCCTTTCTCAGAAGCCGAGAAACCGCCTCACCGGCCGAAGCCCTTTATCGTAGCTTGTCCTACTCGTTGCCCCCAGTAGGCCAGAAACAGGCAGGCCTGGTCTCATCGCCCCATTTCCTAGATGTGACTCATGGCACCCAGAGAGCAAGGTGGCTCACTCAGGTCACGTCTTTGGAAGGCGCAGAGGTATGCCTGCCCACAGGCCTGGGGCCCCGTCCACACCACCAGTTTCTCCCCAGGCTCTGTTAGGGGCTGCCCTCTGGGGCGTTCATCGAGCAGCAGCACCCTATTGTCTGTCTTCCTCAAGCTCACTCCTTTGCCTCTGACACCTTTTTTTAAGGTTTATTTATTTACTTTGTGTGTGAGAGAGAGCACGAGCAGAGCAGGGGCAGAGAGGGAGAGAGAGAATCCCAAGCAGGCTCTGCACCGTCAACACAGAGCCCAACGCGGGGCTCGATCTCATGACTGTGAGATCATGACCTGAGCTGAAATCAAGAGTCGGGCTTTCAACCGGCTGAGCCACCCCGGGCCCCCATGCCCCTGACATTTGTGTCTCTAGGATCTCGAGACAGCCCCCGTGCCTCTGTGCCCTCATCTATTAGTGAGGAGGCAACAGCGCCTGGCTTTGTTATGACCTCAGATCGTGTGATTACCTCATTCCAGGACACGGAGGGACCACCAGCAAAATCGTGGACCAGTCTACTGAAGGGGAAGGAAGAGAGCGCTGAGGTTGGTGAAGGCCTGAGCACAGCAAACCCCGGTGCCCACTGTGCCCCACGGCACCCGGTGGCCTCCACAGGGCTTTCCCCACGTGGTCCCAGCAGACACTCACTGTGTTCCCTGGGCAGCTGTCCTGCCCATTTCACAGATGGGGAGACCCGGGCTGGCACAGCTTGCCCGAGGTTACAAGTGGAAGCCGGAATTCACCCAGGCCTGGGGACTCCAGCTCCTTGTTACGTTTTGGTTTCCCGACAAGACAACACAAAAACAGATCTTAGTATCCTGAATAAATAAATAACGTCTGTATCTACTAGGTCACTCAGACCTATCTCAGCCAAGACAGCCCCTGCAAATAGACACAAGGGGGACCCATGAATTATTAATGGGACACCCAGAAACGTCTTTGTTAGATTGTGCACAGGTCTGTGCCCTGTGCTTAGAATACAGAGTGGCTAAATCAGGTCAGATTAGCCCCTGGCCTCGTGGAACTTCCAGAAAACAATCAAGTAAAGCCATAAATAAACAAGGTGCTTTCAGAGAGAGAGGACAGTAAAAGATCATAGATGGTTGCTGCCTCCGAAAGTGTGGTCCAAGGGAGCCCCTGGGAAGGTGCCGTTTGAGCTGAGCCCCGTCTCTTAGGGAATGAGCCGACAACAGGGGACAGCAGTCCAGGTGGAAGCAACAGGAGGCCCTCTGAAGTGGGAATGAGCCCAGCCTGACCCAGGAGCGGGAAGACAGAAGCCTGACTGGTGGGGGAAGAGGGAACACAAGGGGGACACAAGAGGGTAGGGGGTAGAGAGTGAGGCTGGGATAGGAGGAGAGAGCGCCCACGGGAGAGGGCGGTAGGCAGGGCAGGACGCCAGAGCACCATAGTGGTTTTCTTTATGCGTCCCTCCTGCTTGGTCTCTTATTTCCCAGTCATCCTGAGCCATTGCCAGCTGACATTTCTGACCAGTCTGCGGCCCTGCCCGCCGCACGGCCCGGGATTTCTGGATGACCTGACCCACCCCCAACCCACCGAGCTGCCGGCGACTAAACTCACTTGCAGATAGAGAGCAGAGCACGTGTCTAGTTTAGACGACAAATGTAAGAGAAGGAGGATTAAAAATGAAAGGGCCCTAAGGATGTCACTGGAATGCTCCATGGAGTCTGGTTACTTTGTAGCAAACAGAGCAGGGGTATGGTTGAGATGGGGAAAGACTTTGAGAGAAAATGTTTGCCTTAGCTGATTGAAGAGATTGCTTCCTGGGACCTCCCGGACCAGAAGAAACTGACGTGTCTGTCTCTTTGCAAAGATCATGGCCCCGGGTGGAGGTGGGGCGGGGAGGGATCCTGGATCTAATCAGCCCAGGGAAAAGGCTGTTATGCTCATTCCTGTTCCCTCCTCCTGTCTAATAAGCTTCTCCGTCCTCAGCCACTTCCTACCCCTGAGGCGACTGGCAGGACCAGCCCGCAGGAGCCGTGCAGGGCCACGGGGGGAACCACAGTCGTCCGTGAAGCCATTGACAGAATCGGCCTGCTGGGGAGCAGGTAGGTACCGAGCCTGCTTCCAAACACAGCCGAGAGCCCCACAGCAGTGCAGCCATGAGGATCTCGTTAGCTGAGGTTTTGCTTTGCTCCTCCTGTGTTCTTTCAGACCCCGTAAAACTGCCCCCTGGCACTCTAGCCTCCCTCCCCCTCCAGCCCGAAAGCCCAGAACAGACTCGATGTGTTCCCGGCAAACGTGTCTGCGCCTGTTGGATTCGGTCCAGCCCGGTGTAAGACTTCATCCTCCTCAGAGGCCTCCCCAGAAGTACGCCACGCAGCAGGGGGTGCTGGCCTGGGGGGTGGAGGGTGAGCGTGGCCCACAGCCCCGCTGCCCCGGCCGGTGTGTGGGGCTGCACGCGCCGTGGTCTATGCAGAAGGCCCGTGCCTGTCTGAGGGGCAAGGGGGGCTGAAATCCAGCTGGCGTGCTGGGCACTAAGCTGGGGCCCCCGCCGGGGACCGCAGCAGCCCGGAGAGGGACGAGGGCTTTTTCTCCACTGCACGAAAGAGGAATTTCCGGGCCAAGCTGTGCACCCTCCGGGTCTGTGTCCACCGCAGAGGAGTTTCCTTCCCCTGATTTGCAGAAAAACTCTGAACAGGCCATTCCAGCCATCCCTCTAGGAGTCTACAGACCCCAGAGCCTGGAAACCATGGCCGTGCATCACTGTGGCCATAAGTAAGCCCTCGCTGGTTCCCCTTGTGCCCACGGGCTGGTGCCAGAGGCGACCTCACACCCAATGCGGTCCTGTTTATAGGCAGCACACACACACCCCACTGGGAGCCGCATTTTCCACCCTCAAGATCCTTGGTGCTCCGGGGTCTTGCGGCTCCGCAGCCTTAAACCGCACACGCGTGGGGTGCATTTGCAAACCACACTCTGCTGAGTTGGGAACGCCCGCATCCTCAGAAGCAAGAGGTACAAAGTGAGTCTCTAGGCCGGGAGTAGCAAACGTGTGTTTAACAAAGGGCCACACAGCGAATGCCCTAGTGAGTAGGGCTTTTCACTTTTTGTTTGTTTGTTTGTCTTAACAACCCTTCAAAAGGTAAAAACCATGCTGAGCTCTCAGGCTGCGGACTGGATTCCGCCCGCCTGCTGTCCTTTGCCACCCCGCTGCTCCAGCCCCTGCCCAGCCGAGGGAGTCTGCGGGCTGCCTTGCCCCAATTTCCTCTTCTTTGATCACGAATTGTGTGGTTATGATAAAGGGGGGAAACAGCCTGTGTGCGCCTTTGAACCGCGTGCGGGGTGGGTACTCTCTCCTCAAACCGCCGCTTCTTCTGAAATAGAAAAGCCAGTGCGGGGCCCTGACGGGCACGCTCTCTGTTGCATACCATCTGTTACCACCCGTTTGCTGAAACCAAATCACATTTCAGACAACAGCAAAGGCTTCTGAAAGTCCTCCAGGCCATCGAAAGCGACTCTGTCCGCCTCAGCAGGGCTGTTTCACCGACAGAGGAGCCAGTGCCGGATCCAGAGGTGAGATGCTCGGCTTCTGGGGGTTTCCAGATGCATCCAGCATCTCGCGCGAAAGGTCAGGGAGGAAGGGCCCCTCGGGGTAATTATCTCTCTGCAGGGCAGGCGGGGGGGGGGGGGGGGATGGCTGCCACAGTGGTAAACTTCACCTCTCTCTGCCCGAGTCTCCATCCTCCTCCTGCCCAGCACCCAGATGTACATGTGATGGCACTAAATGCTGCAGCAGAGAGGAGCCTGTCCACACAAAAGGCAAAATATAAAATAGCATGTAAACCCACAGGAAAATGTCCAACATCGCTGGTAATCCAGAAATGCAGATTCAGGGGCGCCTGGGTGGCTCAGTGGGTTAAGCATCTGATTTCAGCTCAGGTCATGATCTCACGGTTCATGAGTTCGAGGCCTGCATCGGGCTCTGTGCTGACAGGTCAGAGCCTGGAGCCTGCTTCGGATTCTGTGTCTCCCTCTCTTTATGCCCCTCTCCTACTGGCGCGCGCTCTCTCTCTCTCTCAAAATAAAATAAACATAAAAAATTTAAAAAGAAATGCAGATTCGAGCAACCTTAATGTCCTATCTGATATCGGAGTTTGCAGATTATTTTTGATGATAGGCTCTGGACTTGCAGGGTTACAGCAGGCTTACTCAGCTGGCAGCAATAGAAACGGGTGGAAGGAACTCTCTTGAAAAGCACAAAGACCGGGTTTAAGAAGAGCCGTAGAAATACTTAATGTCCTCCCAGCCCAGCGATCCCGCTTCCCCACCCCCTCAGGAAATCACTCCACAGCGAGAAAAAGCTATAGGCGCGAAGATGTCTGTTGCAGAATGATTGGAAGTAGGGAAGAATGAGGGGGAAAAAAAAAAAAAA